TAAAAAATAGCGTAACACACAGAGGATAAAGTATAATGAGTGTGGTCCAAGAAGGGTAAAGAACAAGTCATAGAAGAAAATTTAAAATTCGATACATTGCCTTACATTAGAACTAGAACACCTTGTGTTCAATAATTGTAGGTCCATCAAAGTTCTGAAAGTAAATGATCCTTACCCCCCTGGCTTTCACTTGGCTGGCTGTAGCTGGAAATGTGATCTGGTCAGCAGTTGTTCCCTCCCTCAGTTGTCTAACACTGGTCCAGGTTTCAGTTGTGATTTGTTTCCCAAATATTGCTTGATAAAGTAATTTTATTTACGGTCCTTTAGAGACTTTTCACTAGGATCTATACCAAAGCCACTGCTTGTTTGATGAGGTGATAATGAGCAAAAAGCTGACCTACAGCCTTGTCAAACACAGGGATTGAGCCCTTTTTTGCTAAACTCTGTTAGGTTTTGTTACTGGTTGGCATCAAACAAAGAAGGAGGGGAGTACCCTGGGATTCTCAAACTATAGAATTTGCCGAAGCAGACTTTTCATTGTTTATAGAAGCTTGTGCTCATATATTGTATGGAAAATTTTTTTTCTTCAAAAAAATAGATTGCATTTATATGTAGATGTACTTTCAGTCACTGAGGCTTATTTAAAAACAAATTTGATGTGTTTGTAGATGGACATGTCTCACACATGTGGTTGCTACTTACTCAATTCCATTTAAATATTGAATATCCCATAGTCTGCTAAACTTTGTTGTTTTTTTTAACTGAAGCTGTAAGCCACTTGTTAATATTGTGGTCTTCTGAAAGGGAGGATTTAATGGGTATAAGTTGGGATAGGATACATGTTGGGAAAATAACAAAAGCTGTTATAAATTGCAGTGTCTTTGAACATAATGATCAGCTCATATGCAGAGTAACATCCAGTTGTAAAACAGGATTGACCTCTGCTTTTCATAATATTTGAGTTTAATCTAAAATGTAATGCCTGACATATGAGAATGAGTAATTTTCTTCAGAGGAACTGATTGATCTTTAGTCAGAACTTGTTATCCAAAAAAAGGGTTTTATTTCATCCAAGATAAATGATAAATAAAAAATAACAAGGATACCATCGTCTGTTTTCTGTCCTGTCTGCTTTTATAGTGCCTCTTTTTCCTAACTCAAGTCATGTTTCATTCTACCCATACTCTGTCTCTGCCTCTCTTTCATATGTATACAATAATAACTAGGGCAGAAGTTCTTTTTTTTTTTTTTTTTT